ATGAATCAGTGGCCTGAGCAATTCATTTAATTTATTCCACACAAAAAGTCATTACGTGCGCTACCTTGTCCCCCTCCACCAATCATTCACTGCAGTGGTCAGTGACAGCACTCCGTCTCTCTAATGACTAAAAAGAAGACAGCGCGGAGAGGTGTGGGCCGGGATAACAAATGAGTTTATACACCCGGTGAGAAGCTCATTTCCAATCGCCTCTTTCACAAGACTTTAATTGCCAATTATCAGGATTGTTGCCGTTTTAATTAGCGTCCAATAGCAAACCGTGACCATGAGGGCCACACTGACAAATAATAAAATGATTTGATTTCCACTTCTAAACATCCACCCTCTCTTTTTCTTCCTCTACTCCGCCCCTATGTTCTCACGCCCCCTCAGGCACTAGTTTCATTTGTCGACGGGTTGCTGCTGGAGATCGGAGAGTTCATCTCAGACAAACATTTAGCATTGGAGAAATCACTGTGTGCTGGAGGCTGGGTCGTTTGGGATACATGGGAACATGCTGTGAAGCACATGCAGACTCAGGAAAAGACAATGGATCTAACATGAGGAGGGGGTTGAATTGCCTGCTGCAGAACACCACATTTAAACTCTGGCCAATAACAATGTTCACAGAGGACAGGTATATCGTACATGAGGTTATTTTTTAATGAAATGGCAGACGCTGTTCTCTTTCTTGTCAGAGCTTCACAAAAACACTGGTAACACATCACAAAAATGCCTGAACAAAAAACCAACAACAACCAACGACTAAAAGAAGAGCGGAGTTGATTGACGGAATTGGGACGACAAAATTAAAGGTGTCAGAGTGGCTCTCCAATTAATACACATTAAGAATATTTTCCTCTTTCCATGTTTTTGAGTGATAAATATTACAAACGCTACAGCATTTGGGTTTCATCAAGTGCCAATGTACAAAGGAAGCTGCTCGGGTCAGTAGTAGGGCTGGAACTTCTTAGCTTTGATTAATTACAGACAAATTAACAGTTAGAAAAACAACACATTTAATTACACTATTTTTTTATTATTATTATTTTGCACTGTAATAACAGTTGCACAAACTCCAGACCAGTAAGTGGCAGGAATGAAAAGATACACAGAATGTATTGCGTGACCTCAGTGCCCAAAAGCTCGGTAAAACAGAAATGGGAAATAATGAAATAATCACGAATAAATACAGATGAATAATTTTAGGTGTATGTCTATTTATTGATTTAGTTGCAAACCAAAATGTGGTGGGATTAACTGATTTATTTATTGCAAATCCTCTTATTACCATGATTTATTTTAATTGTGTGCCACAACTAAAAAAAAAAAAAAAAAGCATTCATCCAGAATATGGACCACATTCAACAGCAGACATTTTCAGATTACGTCTACCATTCTCATCAGTTCAATTGCTAGATTTGTGGACAAATAAGATGGGTGGCTTATGTGTGAGACAGTTGAAGAGAGTGAGAGAGCTACTGAGTGGGGATATAGGCTGGGTGGGGGTGAGGGTGGAGGTGGCATTTTTTACAGGATTAGTTGCCTGGCTTGAAGTCACTTTTTCTCCCCCAGTCCATCGGTATTGCAGTCAGAGCTATTTGGGCGTCCTGGCAGATGACAAATAGGGCTTGTCAAAGGTGCTGCCACGACTCCCACCCCACAACCTCTTACACGGCTGCCCCTCCTCACCCCCAACACTGTATCTCTAACCTGCACCTCAATCAGCCTCTTAACTCTCGTTCCAAATATCATGACATCCGCCTTGCCCGTGTCGCCACGCCACCGTTCCGCCTTGGCTATTGTTAAATGACATCTACAGTGAGTGATGCTGTTGGTGTGTCTGTGACTGAATATGTGTGTATGTGTGTGTGTGTGTGTTTGTCCTTTTGGTTGTGCAGAAGCATTTTAAAGCTACTGGAGTAACATTACATCCACTCTGCTGGTTGGAGGCACAACCACTGCTGTGACATGGTTTTAAATCATGTTCCACAAAAAACAGAGGTTACTGATGTCTAAGGTTTTGGCCTAAAAATGTATTTATATGGACCAATAAAATTAGATTTGCATTTCAAGTTACACTGAGACACTGTGAAGTTAAACGTTTATCAAGAAATGTTGTTTATTCAATAGCTGTGTTCTTAGAGTTTGATTATTTTAATCTAGTTTGACTACTATGCTTTCGGTGTGGAATTCTTTGATTATGGAATTAGAAACCTACATGTGATTGATCTTTAGATAGATAATACAGTTATTTACCTCTATTAAAATTAAAGTTGGAAGTGGACCATGTCAAATAAGGCTGGAATAAGACTTTGGTAAGGGTTGTCCAAAGATATCAAAGCTGTGTCCTAACAAGGATAGTTAAACAAATGTCTGTGTATGTGTGTGCGTGTATGTGTGTGTGTCAGGGGCGATGGATGGACGGCACTGCTCTGATTGTAAACCACTGCAGCTTGTGTTGGTTGAGTGGCTCTGGGAGCAATGGGGTCTCAATCTTCCACTATAGGACCATGACCAATGAGCATGTGAACACCAGCACTCACACACAAACACACACACTCACTCACACATATACACCTGGGGTCTCAATCTTCCCTTAATAGACCTTTGACAGTGGCCTGCCTTGCAAAGTGGGGGGAGTGAACTGAGTGGCACCCAGCGCTGCGAAGACACCGTTTGCAGACGCATGCAGCTCCCACACCGTCCATCCATCTTTCCCTGACTCCTTCTGAATCCACAGATAATCTACTCCACTTGCTCCGCGTTGCACTCATCGCTGCTTCTGTTAGTAGCCTGGCTCCGAGTACCACAGCCTACAATAAAGGGCTGGTGGAACCCATTCTCTTATGCAAGAAAATCCCAATGTAAATAGAATAAAGTTTCATACCTTTGTGTTATTATCTATTAAAAACACCAAGCCTGTTTTTAGAAAAGTTTATGAATGTTCTAAAAATGTCTCATTTAACAAGAAGTGAGAATATTTAAAAGGTAAATATCCACCTACAGACTTTAACTACAGACAGTTAACGCTTAACTTGATAATTAAATGAGATGACATCACTTTACTCTCGCTAAAAGAAAAAAAAAAAACTAACATCACGCTTTAAAAATACTTTGTCCTCCGGTAATCATGTAAACATTTATTAACCAGATAAAAAAGTGGCGACTGACAAATGAGTGATCCACGTTCTACTTTACTTCCTGTCTTTGAAACCGCACCAAGTCTGTCAAAAAGTGAATCCACTTTAAACTCGACAAACTACAAGTGTTGACACTGCTTTGTCAACACCCAGAAGCATATCACGTAGCTTCACTTAAGTGGATCTGAGGTGTTGGACTACAGCGACATCCCTAAGGCGACTAAGCCTTTTCTGGATCCTCTGACGACTGGAGCAGACTTTGAGAAAAAGTTGTCTTCTTAGACAAACTGTATCTCTATTCTCAGCCCTCTGACTGGGGCAAATGACAGGCCACTGTACTGCATTCCCCCTCTTAGGGACTCCCCTCCCGCAGAGGCATTACCTGACGACTAATTCCAGGCAACAGCAGTCTCTGTCTGCATCTTTCATTGGACAACCTAATGGATAATAAATCTTTTTATTGACAGCACCCATTCCCCCTGCCATCCCATCTTCTAGTCCCCTGGGGCTCATCTTCTGACTCCCACTGCTCTGCCGCTCTCACAGAAGACAGCAGTGCCATGCTAA